TCCAGCTGTGGACAGGTGCACACCCTCAGCCAGTTGCCCCAGCATGGGACATGGCTGTCTCCAGGGAAGATCCAAGAGGGGGACCCTCAGAGGGATGCTGATTCAGGCTGCCAAGACCCAAAGGTACCCGTTTTGCATGAGAGGGACGAGGCACCGCTCACCTTGTTTTCCATCATGTTGCTGAGCTGCTGTTGCACCTCGTTCCATTGCTCATTCTGTCCCAACACCTGGCCCTGCATCTCCTGCATCCTCTTATCCAGCCGCTCCATGCTCGCCTCAAACTGGGTGCAACTGACTTTGCTGCCCAAGGCATCTTTGTCCGCTTTCTAACAGATGGGAAAGGCAGGAGAGCAGAGGGGAAGGTGTTGAGGAATGACAGGCAAGGCCGGGGTGTGTCAGGGGCAGAGGGAGAAGCACTCCCTCTGTACCATCGTGCCCCTTCCAGGGCAGGGTGGCCCCGTTCACCCCATCACCCCCACAGGGTTGGTCCCACCAGACTGTACCATGTCCTTTGCCGCCAACATGTTCTGCTCCTCTGCTTTGTCCTTCTTCAGCTTCTCCAAGGACTGGAACAGCATCTTTCAACACAGAAAGCATCCCATGACATGGCAGCAGGGCTGGAGCTGCCTCCTGGTCAGCTGAGGACCCCCTGCTCCCCCTACCCAAAATCCTCTGGGAAACACCCTCAGAACCCCCTCAGGGCTGTGAGCAGGTCAGCAGGGGGACAGATTCCTTGTGGTCCCCTGGCTGGAGTCTGGCTGGGAGATGCTCTTACCCCACAGGACTTTCAGCCACCCACCTCAATAGCTTTCTGCTTTTCCTCACAGTCCTTCTGGAGGTTCCCTGAGACCAAGCTGAGCTCCTCACAGTCCCCTTGAATCTTCCTGACCTTGTCCTCCATGTGCTGCAGGAGCTGCTGGTCCTGCTCCATGGAGGAAGAAAAGATGATGCTTAGCAAAGGGGGGTCTCGTTCCATGAGTATTCAGTGTCAAGAGGACATTTGCACAAGGCTTTAATTTCCTTCCATGCTGCTGACTGGTCCAAGCAGTGAGGGACTCCCCAACATTTTACAGCAAAGCACAGCCAGCCAGGGAATGCCATCAGCCCACTCCCAAGTACCCCGTGGTGCCAACTCCCTACCTGGCTCCTTTGCTTTATGATGTTCTCCACCTTGCCCAGGGCTGTCTGCCGTGACTGCAGGGACTCCACCTCTTCCTCGAGTTTCTCACAGCGCTGGACGAGCTCCCCCAAAAGGACTTTGTCGTCGAAGGTGCAGTTGGAGCACGCTGCCTTCGCCATCTCCTGCTCCTCCTGCACGATGCTCACTGTCTCCTCCAGCTCACCCAGCTGCAGGAAGGGCAGAAGGAATCTGCTCAGAGATGGGATGGATGCAACCAGCAGACCTGGTTGCCGTGGGACTCGATGGCCCCATCCAGATGGGGAATGTGGCTGGAACCCCGTCAGGACCCCTCCACTGAGCTGGCGGGTGGTGGGAGTGCTCCCCCAGCACCTCACCTTCTCCTGCATCTGGTTGGCTGTCTCAGTCACCATCTGCTCCAGCATGGCATTCCTCATCTCCTGCTGCTCCTCCATCTTCTTCAGCTCACTCTTTGTCTCTTGCAGCACGGACCTGGCCAGCGAGATGGGGGCAGGGGCTGGCTTAGCCTCCCCAGTGCTGCTCAGGCAATGTCCCTTAGCCCCAAACCAGGATGCTCCCAGGCCCCCTGGGCTTCTCTGCAGCCCTACAGAGTACAAAACCCTCTCCCATCCTCTTACTCCAGTTGTTGAGTGATCTGCTCTCTGGTCTCTTCTTTCCACTTGGCCACATCCTCCCTCAGCTGTGCAATGTCATCCTCCATCTTCTTCATCTGGGAAGGGCAGTGGTGGCAGACTCAGGGCACAGATCTTGTGTTGTCGCAGCACGAGGGCCCTTCAGCTGCAAGGGCAGACCCAGGGCCCCACACCCTGTCCCTGGCTCAACCCCAGATCCCCAGCTTAGGGAGCCACACTCAAGTACCCCATGAGAGCCCAAAGATGAGACCAGCCAGCAGCTCACCAATGCAAGGGTCTCCTTCATCTTCTGAGCCATCTGGGACTGTGTCACCTTAATCACGCCAATCTCCTCACGGAGATCCTGGTAGTCAGCCATGGCCTAGGAGAGAGGGGTGGTGGGGGTGAGTCCCAGGGGAGGGTCCCCGGGGACCTGCAGGACCTTCCCCCTGCCGTGGTGTGCCCAGCACAGGGGACAGTGCAGGTCAGGCTCAGCCAGGCTGGCAGGGCACTGCGGGCAGCACTCTCCATGCATCCAGCAGGGCCAGGGCTGCTGAGCCTGCGGCCGGCACAGCCGAGGCCACTGGCTGCTGCCTCAGAGCCACAAGTGTCTGACAGCAGCAGTTCACCTGGTCACGCTCCTCCAGAAACTTCTTCATGTCCTCTGCCATGTGGGGCTGTAGGAGAAAGGGGTGTCAGAGATGAGCCCCTGGGGAGTGTCCCTGGGGAACACGACCTTCACCCCCACTGTGATCTCCACAAACCTGCGCCCCTGGGATCCTTGACACACCTTTGGCCTCACCACTCTCCTCATGAAGAGCCTGAGAGAAAGTCTAGGAAAAAGGGTTCTCGGGGTTGAGCCCCAGGGCAGCAAGTGCCCCGAGACCCCCAGCCCTGCCCTGGGGAGCCCATGGCACAGGCAGGGTCAGCAGGCAGAGCCCCAGTGCCGCCTGCCCGAGCCAGGCTCTGTGCCAGAGCACTGAAGCCCATCCCAAGGGTCAGGAAGCTCTGCCAGCGGCCCAAGCGCTGCCTGGGCAGTGAGGGCAGAGTCAAGCACTGCTGAGGAAGTGGGGAGGGACTGACTGGTGGGGGAGCACCAGGGGCTCTGGGAAGAGCCACTACCTCTGGCATGAATGTCTTGACGGTTTCCATTTCCTTTTTCATTTGTTTTATATCAGTGGCCAACTCAGCCAGTGAGGGGCCACTCAGCTCGCCCGTCCACGGCTCCTGGGCTGTCAGGTACTGCACGTCCAGGTGCCCCAGCACGGCCTGCAGCAGTTTCCTCATGGCCGCAAAGTGGACGGCTCCATTCTGGGGCATCCCGATGGCGAGATCCAGCAGCTGGGAGAGGCTGAGAGTGTCCAAGGGAGTCGCCATGTCTGCAAAAATAAAAGCTTTCCTTGCCAGACAGGATCTGCCAGGAATGCGTAAAAGTGATGGCAAATGGGATGACCAGGAGGGATTTTAAAATATATGACCTATAGGGATGATAAAAGGGATGCCCTATAGGGATGATAAAAGGGATGAACTATAGGGATTATAAAATGTATGACCTATAGGGATGATACAAGGGATGATCAATAGGGGTCTTATACTGTATGTCCTACAGGGATGATAACAAGGAGGCCCTATAGGGATGGTCTATAGGGATTTTAAAACATATGACCTATAGGGATGATAACTGGGATGACCTATAGGGATGATAAACTCTATAACCTATAGGGATGATAAACTGTATAACCCACAGGGATGATAACAGGGATGCCTTATAGGGATTATAAAAGGGATTACTTATTGGAATGTTAAAATGTAGGACCTAGAGGGATTCTAAAAGGGATGCCTTATAGGGATTCTAAAAGGGATGCCTTATAGGGATTCTAAAAGGGTTGACCTACTGGGACTCTAAAAGGGATGACTTATTGGGATGTTAAAAGGTATGACCTGGAGGGATTCTTAAAGGGGTGACCTATAGGAATGATAAAAGGGGAGACCAATAGGAGTGGTAACAGGGATAAGCAAAGGGGTTGATAAAATGATAAAGCAAATAGCCTGATCAAACGGATCAGCCAAAGCGATGAAGAAGCGGGTCAGTCGCCAGAAGGCTCCTTCCTCCTTCCTCGGCCCTCGAAGGACTGGGGCCTGCGCTGCACGTGCCCCTCTTCATCACAGCTCCTGTTGCCAGGCAACAGCCCCACAACACCCCCAGGACACAGTGGGTCACAGAGCCACGGAGACATGAGGTCATAGAGTCATGAGGTCATAGAGCCATGGAAAGGTTTGGGC